CCAACAGGCACTACTCCTGAAATACCCTGAAAAAAATTACTCTGAATTCCCCCCTCCTACATTTTTAACAATTTAACTATTTCAAAATCCAGTGAAGTGATGTAGAGTGTTTCCCCATATCTGTTTCCTGCAAAACAGATACACAAAAATTTATCCTGGAAACAGAAACCTCCCCAGAAAGTGTTGAAGCAATTGACGTATAGCCCAAATTACAGTAAATTTCAAGTAATCCCATTACTGCACTTCAGTCTTGTGAAGAAACACTACTTCTGAAATAGGGTTTCTGATTTAGATATCCATGACCTTCTAAAGCAAAAATAATGTTATAATCCTAGAAGGGATAAGCACAAAGCATGTGTGTGCATTCAGGTTGCTACTTGCACTTATTCCACCTTGGTTGCATGTCATTAATACCAGATTTTGTTTATCCATGAGGTATTCACACCTGTTCCAAGGTGTGAATGTTAGCGTTCCAGAACACACATAATCACAGGATATGATTATATGCAGGTGCTTTTATTCAGAGCTCTGGGAATCAGGGGTACCAACCCAAATATGACTCCAACATGGCTTTCGAGCTGAACGTATTTTATATTCTATTGTTCTATAACTTACATATTTATTATTAAACTTATATTGTTCTATTGTATACATTGACATGAGTTTCTCGTGATCCTTCTTAGGTCCCTGATCACAGTTTCTCATTATTATTCTTATGATTAAACAGTAATTTTATTTAACTACTAAACAATCATCACATCTAACAAAGATATAATTTATCATGTACTAGCTATACAGGTGCAGTTCCAGCAAGTACTAGTTCTTCATGTGCTTAAGGTATTTATTTTTCCAGGGCCTACTAGGCTTATTTTCCTGTTAACCCTAAATCCCCATGATTTTAAAACCCTTTCACTATCATGAACTTTTCCAACCATGGCATCTCCAGGGAAAAAAGAGGTAGCAAAACCACACAGATGTGAAGCCATGTGACAGCCATCCATGAAGAGATCAGAAGTAGTTCTGTATTAGCATACCCAGAAACAAGAAGTGACTAATATTTGCAGTCATGTGCATACTTTCACTCTTGATTTCTCCCTGTTCCCATCTCAGTCACAAGAAATCTGCTCCCTAATGGCTGCAGGATGACAAATAAAGAAAAACAACTATTTGAATCTCAGATTGCATACTAACACGCATGAGTTACAAAGGGAAAAAAAAAAAATCCTCATGTTACAGAATATTAAAATCTAAAGGGAAAAAATATCCTGAATCAACAGAAAACAAGGGTATTTTATCTCACTTTCCAGTGTTTCTCAGCAGCATGGCCTTTCACCAAACTCATGTCTTGCATCAGGATTAGACTGAAGTATTCCAAAGTGGTGAGAAATAACTCTTTGATGTTGTTTCAAAGAAAATGGCTTGTCAGGAATTCCCACAAGGTGCGGAATCTGGTAAGTTTGGGAAGATAAACATTAAGGCAGTAGCAGAAGTTACCAGACCATGTCTTAATTAAAGGAGAATTTTAAAACTACTCTTTCTGCAGCTCTGTTACTAAAGCTTTATGATATTCAGTTGGTGCTGCTACACAGCTGTCTTAGCCCCCACAAGTCCACCCAGATTTAACCACTCACTCCTTACACACCCAATTTGTGCTTCAGTCCCCAGTGCAGCTGAGAGGATCCTCATTCTTCCTCCAGTCATTCAGCCTGGAAAATCATACACTGACACAAAAGAGGAGCCAGAAAATTACTGGATGGTGGCCAATTAAATAAAATAATTGGCACCCATAAAACACATGGGGTACCAAAAGTTGTTACACTTCATGAATTCTTTGCTTCATTATTACCAACACAATTACTCTGGGACATTTGTTGAGCAGTCCAGCACAGCAAGCATTGGCTAGAAAATTGTCAGCTACACACACAAAGAAGTCCCTGTCTGCAGCTATAAAGTTTTACCTTTCATTCCTGAATTCCAGTCAGTTAGTGACAGGCAAAGGATGTAATGTGTCTGCCTCACATGGCACACAGCAGCAGAACCTCTCCCCAGCATGGGGAGTGCAGTCATGCCAGTCCTCATCCTTCCCTCACAGCCTCTGTGGATGAATCAGGAAGTGGCATATTTTTTTTAAAGTAAACTCCTTTCAGCAAATTACACCACGAGCTCTCTGTTCCATCCATCAACATACCATTGCCTGATGACCAGCTTCCTCACTCCTTCCATTTTTTAATTTCCCTGCCCCCTATACTTGCTGATGTCTGTGCACGAGACATTTCATAAAATTTTGTGGCTGCACTAAGGCTGCCAGCTGTAGCAGAATCAGCCAGCCCTGGAGCTGAAAATTTCTTTTAATAGGTTACAGTGCACACTGCCTACTGTTTTATTTGCCCACCCACCCATTATCCATAACCTGGCTCTAATTACCCAATTTCCCAGGCCCATATTCAGACAAGTGAAAACACAACAACCTAAGCTGTCTTTCTAAGTTGACTTCTAGGACTTCGGGCAGGTGTTTCAAGCCACGACAAGCAGCAGCAAGAGCAGGTCCCCGTGTGGATATTTCTAACCAAACCAACATTCCAGCTGAGCATATTTTAAGGCAGATGCTGTTCTGGACACGGAGCAGAGGCTCCCGGCAGCGGACGGGTGCCAGCTCTGCGGCACCATCTAGCGCTAAGAGGGAACAGCGCTCTTGGGAAAACACATACACACCACGTTACACAGAGCTCAGAAACAACGTAAAATAAAGGCACATAACTACAGACCGAAAACAAGCAAGGCAACCTCTGGTAACCCATTTTCACTGGGCCCGCTCCTGTCACCCTAGGACTGGAGCATTTCTGTGGCGCAGTCCACACTGGTCGCACACCAGTGAAGACGCTGGCAGTGTGCACATTGGAGTCCAGCCACGCTTCTTACCCCTATTCCCACTGGACTCGGCAGATGAATCACAACAGCCACGTGTTCTTGAAACGTACGTGCAGCCTTGCAGCTGCCTCTCGGCTCCTGTTCCAGGCTGACAGCCACTCTGGAAATCACAGCAGAAGGGCAACGGCAGCGTCTCTGAAACAAAGAGCCACCAGCCTTGCGGAAGGTGGTCAGAGACAACACTCTGCACATCCTCTCCAGCAGGTCTCAAGGCAGAGGAAGAGACGAGCCCAGCTCCTGGGCATGCTGGCCTCTACAGACCATTAACTCAGAGACTCATGGTCCTGCTCAGACTCAAACCACAGATCCCAAGTGGTTTCCTCCTGCTCTCTAAAGTTACATCTACTTCCGCCAATTTTATTACCACTAGAGGTAGAGGTTGGGGTCGCTTATTTTTTCCATTTCCTGCATCCAAAAAAGTTCACTAGTTATTATAAATCTAGATGACATGGCTTTTTTTTTTTTCCTCCCGAGAGCAGCTTAGTTCTTATAATTTTATACAGCTGCATATTTGTAGCATCTAAGGAACAATTACCACTACATTGGTAGAATTTCAGTGCTAGATTCTTCAACCTTCAAATATTTCAGCAAGTTTCAGTTTAAAGTAGTAGAAAAGGTGATTTTTCTACAATTATGAAGTCTCCAAAGAGTTACAGAATTCACATCCTTAAGCTGTGTGAAATCTAGTTATTTTTCAAGCTCCCCACTGATTTCAACTCTCCATTGATTACATTTTTTCTCATGCCAATAAAAACCACTTTGAAAATCTATCCCAGTGACCAATTAAATATAATTAACATTCATTTTCAAATGGTGGCCCTCAGCAGGACCTGATCAACAACAGAGAAAACTACCACATATGCATTAATTTCAAGTTTTATTCTTCATGTTGGTGAAATACACAGCCTCAAGAGGCAGCATCTGTAAAGCTGTTGCAAACACATTTTGTACTCTATAACACCACAGATTTGGGAAAAGAACAAATAAAGCACAGGTTTCACACTGCACTTGGATCATCTGACTATTAAGTTACAGATAATTTAGAAATCTTCTGATTTTACATAAACATTGCATTGGCCATTGGTCAGCCTCCATGCACAATTTAACTTTATTTTTTTATTACAACCAACACTTGTTTTGGAAACTCTCTTGCTGTAAATGTTATATTTTCCATTTTAGACCACTTAAATGGTATTTACATAAGTGTGCAAATTGCTTTGAAAGATAGAAACATACACATAATATACAGACAGTTTCTTCTATAGTTAAATATTTACTAAAAGGAAGTTAACATTCCTAATACACTTTCACTGTCTAAAATAGGAGAATAAGTTATATAAAATAGACCATCTTATTTTCAGATGCTTCCATTTCTGCAGATTTGTTCTTTGCAGCAATATTGCAATTAAAGATTAAGATTCTACTACTAAGAATCAGAAATGTCAATTAAATGGCAGCTTAGTAAGTTTAGTACCAGTCACTTTTGTCCCAGATTTTCCACGCTTGGCACAAAACAAAGAAACAACTTGAGAAGGGAGAAAGACAGTTTTGCACTTTTTTTTTTTGCCATGTGGAAAACATGTCTTAAAAATGCAACAAAAATTTTAAATTTTCTTTTAAGGGCCTGTTAGTGTTGCAAGCACAGTTTAAATAGATCTGAAAATTAATCCACAGAAGCACACACAGTTCCCAGCTTTCTTATGCACCTCATCATTTCAGATACATGCAACTGTTCACACACAAGAAAAGCAGACTCCTTGGGCTTACACAATAAAACTGATTTCAGAACTAAAAGGAGCAGGAAATGCTTGAAGAAAATTACTTAGTGTCACCTGAGCTCCTACATGTGCATTTTTTTTCTACCTGTGATAAAGACTCACTCATAGTAAGTGCTACGTTCAACTTGATTTGAATCCAGAAAGCAGAAGTTAAAATTCAGTTAAACTGAAGTGAGTTCCTCCAACAGTGAAAATTCTAGAAGAGCTCTAGAATTCTAGGAAAGTATCAAAACCATCTTTCATGTATACCTGCAAGCATTCTCAGAGAAAAGCAACTCACTTCCTAAAATTCCATAGAGCTAAAACATACATCATCAATAACAAAGGGAAATCATCCATCAGATAGTGAAGACCTACAGGTGCATCTTAAATAGCTTTAGAACTCATAGTTATTATTACACAAGATAAAGACACAAAACAGGTTTTTGAACATCCATTAAACTGAATACTGTGACTTTCTAATGTGACAGCAAATTATGCTGCACTTTGTGCTCCCATCTCAATGTTACTGAGTGCTATTCACCCCAAGGAAAGTGTGCATTAGCCCTCTAAAATTTGAACTTTCATCACAATTACGCCTGACACAATTCTGTCAGACATATGCTTGATATTATTGATGATATCCAATATGGCAGAAACACTTCAGACTGTGCTGTTTACAGAGCTTTGGGCATCACATACAAATCCCTGCTGGATTCCAAGTAATGTCACTCTAGTGCAGACCTTGCTTAGGCCCTGCTGAAAAAATAAGCCACAGGTGCAACTTCTAGACCTGACAACTTTTAAGCACAAAATGGTGAAACAAATTCAGGACACTAAAAAAGCTTGCAAAACACATGATGACTTGAAATGAAATAGAAATAGGATGCCTTAAAATTTGGTTACCTTGGATTCTAAGCAAGTTTGAAAAATGCCATTTATAGGAGATATCTGTTCAATGCTTTGAAAATATGAGAGAAACATATGTCTTTACAGACCACCACACTGATCAGCAAATAAACACCTAGGACACTCATGAATTCAAACATATCACTGAAACATTCCACCTAAGTTTTTGTTAAACATTTGTCTTCAGAAGTTTATATTCAGTGCACATTACCTGCTAACTTCAGTTTCTTTTTTGGTTATGGCATGCTTCAAAAACACTGCTAAGAATGGTTGTTCACACCTTCCTTTTCTAAGGTGCACATTACAAACACTATGGACATATTTATTTCCAAGTACTTCAGGTCAATAAATTTCCTATGAGGAAAGGCAGATGTGTATTTTTAAGCTTGCAAGATAACTTCAACCTAGTTGACTTAGTGTTTTTTACACTCATGTGGATACTGTAAAAATAAGGTATTAAAATAATATTCCCCAGCGCAGTAAAAACATGTTGAAAACAAACAGAATGCTCCCCCTAGTGCTTACACAAGTAAAAATCCTGCCTGGCACAGTCTGCCTTAAATGGTCTTAAACAGGAGATAAACAGCCAGATGAATGATCATACATTTAACTTTTGAGGACAACTACAAACATCTTACTGGGACCAAAAGCATGACCTGTGGAAACCCAGCATTTAAAATTTTTTACTATTCCCCCTCCAGGGCTTCTGAAGTTTTGCTTTCTTTTAAACTGTGCTCTTAGTAAAACTCTCCTCAATTTTTTCCTGTCAGCTGAAGGCAAGGCCCTAAAAAAGCTCCTGCTAGGTAAGAGATGAAGTCCAAAGATGTTTCAAGGTGATGATTTTCTCCTGTATTGCACCAGAAGCTGCCAAGATAAGATTAGGATTCCCATATCACAATTGCAATGAAGCTCTGGTAAATCTGGTACCTTTGGATATGCTCAGCATCACAATTCAGTCAGATATGACAACCTAGTCTGCAGCTAGCAAAGTCCACCAGAATATTCATCCTCTTCCTCATCAGCATGAGAGCCCACTGCAGCTGGTCCTCTGGCTTTGTCTTGGGCAGCGTTTGGCGATTTCTTCTTGATTCCACCTCCTGGGACCACCAAGGTAAGACCAAGCTTGGCATACTGACAATAACAAGGCAAGTTTAATTTCTGTACTATCATAGAATTGACTGATGCTCACAATAATCAAGCAGGCAACATTCAGTATAAAAACAAAGTGATTATGTTCTTAAGGTGTATTTTTCCAGCTTGGAATAAACATAACACTGGTCCCTTTTTCACTCTCTCAAATACTCTGAGAATCGTATATGAGATCTGTATAGATGTTGCTTATTATCAAATAAATTGGCTACATAGCTCCTCTGGTTCAAGCTTTATGTAGAAAAGCAATAATTCCACCATGTAGCTTTTATTATCTAGTATTAGATCATGTAAACAATTTTACAAATGTTGTTCAGCAAGACTAGTAACTTAATTTTTAGTATTCAATGAAGTGAAATTAGCCAATACTGCCACAAGGTTTGGCAGGGATGGATGTTTCCATTACTTCACACCCTTCTTATCTTATACTTCCTACAATTTCAAATTCAATTAAATAAAAAATGGTGGGGAAAAGAGACACAGCTACTTGCTCCAAATTCAAAATCTATCCTGAATGAGTACCTTACTAAGAATAAGCAATGGAAAAATACATTCAATTATGCCATCCTGTAGACATCCTGCTCTGTTCATGTTTATGCACATTTATGCACTGCATGGTATTTCTGAGAAAAAGCAGAAGCAGCAAACTGTTCTTGCCCTTAGGGAAGCAAGCACAAGTGGACTGAATTTTGGTCAATTCTTTAAACAAATTAAGCACATCTTTAAGAAGCTGTTCTTTCACCTAACCCTTTGCACCATCTGAAAGGCAGGCAGCACCATCACTGCCAGGCAAAGTAAAAGAATGCAGGAAGCTCCAGCCAAAGGGCAGCATGACAGGAAGTCATTTTAAATACACAGATTGTGTTCTTATTTTCCTCTACTAGGAGAAAATCCCCACCCTCTTAACCTGAAAAAAAAAACCCAGTCATGGGATCTGTCTACTTACATCATTATCCATGTATTTGAAAAGTGGAGAATTACAGACTTCAGAAACTTGATCCTGATCTTGCTGATCATACCCTTCTAGAAGTTGCTCCAGCGCTGCACAGTCTTCGCTTCCATTAAATCCTGGTATACTGAAGGAAATTAAGAGTTGATTTATTCAGGTACATGAATCATATCCATAAAAATTAGACTTTAAGTAATACTAGTTTGCACACTGCTAATAAGACAATAATAGTTAACCACATTCATAGTCAAGATGAAACAAGAATATTAGATTTTTAGTTTTTTTTTCCTGATTAGTCAATAAACTCTTTCTCCACTTCACACACAGAAAAATTCTGTCATGAGTTTCTGTATATAAAACTGGATATTTGGAAAACAAAAGCAAGATGTTTAAAGATTGACCTTGAAAGATTATTTCCAAAGGTAAAGTACTACAATTTAACTAATACATATGTTAATTTCAGTAAAAACACAGTTTAAGTAAAAACATGTTGTTTTGAGATTTTGCTACTGAATTCCAATGAAAGTTGAAATGAAGAACTGCCAGGCTTAAACACTAATCCTTATTTTTACACAATTTTTTTTTCCTGTAACATAGCAAGAACTATTAATTTCCATCTCATTTCCCCTGTCACACATAACTAGTTCTTCATGACTTTGTATTTGAGGTTTGTAAGAAGAATCACTGTAGCCATTACAGCTAAATCTGTTATGTGTGAAAAAGATTCCTGATAGCCACATACCAGGGAACATTATTATTGTACTGTAAGTCAAAAGAACTGCAGGTTAAAGATTTATGAAGAAAAATGTCAAGCAAGACAAGTCTACAATGGTGAAACATTCCACTTAAAATTACAGGACACAAAGTACTTACCTGTAGCTTTCCCTCACACATCTTTCTGCAGCAACATAATCATTTCTATGAAGATGAACTAAGACTTGAGCAATAGTTTTCTAAACAAAAAAAAAAAAGCCTTATGAATCTTTAGAAATTAACAATAAAATATGAGAAAAATAGTAGACTGTTAATATCTAGTCTGAGAAAGGTCATTATAATCCACAATCATCCTAAAATACAGACACAAGCGAGTCAGAACAATCTAGTAAAAAAGTAGAGTCATCTTCTCAGCTGGTATGAATAGGTTATCTCCTATAACATTTTAATGGATTGTTGTCCCAAGCAACAGGTTTTGTAGTTTATTTTTTGGTAACATCTTGATTTTTTATGTGTTGTTTAGTTTTGACAGCTCCTGTATATAATAGCATCTTATCTTAAAACTTACAATAGCACAGGTATAGTTTAGGGAAACACCACTACCACAAACTCTCACCATTCAGCAAGAAACTTACCACTGAATCAAGAGGTGCCCATCATCTGTCAGATGTCAATAACAACAAAAATTTAAAAATTGGAATATCAGAAGCTCTCTCTTAGAATTTACCTTGTAGCAAGTGGGGTAGTTTTCAATTTCCTTATAAATACTTTTTTCCTTTTGAAGAGACAGTGCAGCCTCATCTAATCTAAAAAGCAAAAACAGAGGAGTATCAGTGCCAGGACTACAACACAATGAACCCAAGGCTAATTACGAAGTGTTTAACTAATACAATGGCAAGTCTACTGGAATAAACAGCAACACAACTAAAAATCAGCCATAGATCTTATTAATAGATTAGGTAATTATATAGTCAGCAATTCCTTTTGTCTACATGCCAAGAACATCTCTGGTATTATTCAGAGAAACTTTGATTTTTGTAACACTGTACAAGACAAATGCTTTGTTATATACACTAACACATTTCTATATGTTCTGAGGTTACTATAAGCTGTCAGTTAAGTCTGACATCCACAAACTAGCAGTTTAGATCTTAAAGGACCTAAATGTTTCAGTGAAGCAAGTCTAAGATGAAATGAAGGTCAAGTTTGGTGTAAGTAATTTACAATTAAACTTGTCTCACTGAGACTCCAAGATTCACTCTTCTTTATGAAGTTCAGAATCAGACCGCTGCAGATTCCATTCTTCAGGACAGTCCTAATTCCTCTGTTTTATATCCAACAGCTATAGAAGACTTTAAAGTACTTTCTATATATTAATGTTGGGGAAAAAACTCTCCAAAAAAATCCTGAAGTAGTTTAAAAATTAATGAAAACTGGTGTTTTCAGAGAGCAAAAGTCTTTCAGCCAACCCTCTCCCATCCCAGAACAGAAAATCAAGTGGTTTCTGGATGAACATGGCATATCCCACAGAAACTGGATCTTAGTTTGAAGTGAGTCTCAAGTAACAGTTAACAGCACATAAACCAAACAACACCAAGACAAAAAATTACAATCAAAATCACAAAATTTTAGATTCAATTACATTAAAAGAACAAAAAGGAATAAAGCTATACCTGCGTCCTCTGACCAGAAGTCTTGATGCCTTCCCTAACATTTCCAATGCCTGCCGTAAACGTTCTTCATTCTACAGAAGAGAAAAAATAATTCCGACATTCTTATTTCATTTGCACAGAATTAAGACCCTTGACCTTAATCTAAGGGTGTCACCTGTAACTTAGAACAACTGTTAGCTAAAAGATCAGCAGTTCACACACTCAAGGGAAACATGAAGTGCGTTGGTGCTTCTGAGTTCCAGAGCCAGCTCCAGTATGGATCTGCTCAGCAGAGGAATGTCAGTGTAAATTTGCTAATCTGAAAAAACACATGACAACTGACAATAGTAAAGTACATCAGTCACTTGTAAAAAGGCATATAATTGTCTCATATAGTGGGTGGAGCACCAAGCAAAATCATTTCTTCTGTGCCTTCAGGGATTTTGAATTATTTTGGGTTCCAGTACTCAACAGCAGACATGTTCTCTACCAAAGAGGCAGAACACTTGAACTACAAAATTCAGATTATGTCAAGTCCTAAACTGAGAAAAAGGCAAAGCAATCTGACTCCTAACTTTTGTAATCTCCTTCTCTACAGCATCAGAAGCCTTCAGCTTCATTACTCAGCCACTGATGTAAAATGAGGGAAACATAATTTAGAACCTCATCTTAGGCTTCTTCTTTACTTTATAGCTGAAAGAAAAAACCCCAGCAAACTAAAAACACCCACAAAAATCCCCCACTTACTTCAAACACGGATGCTGCTTGCTGATAGAGCTGCACAGCCTTCTCTGGACTCACATTTTCTATTAACCTGTAATAAACATCAATACTTTCTCTTCAGATGAAAGGAAAATACTTTTTACCTGAAAGCATCAAAAAGATGTAAAAGAAAACCACCGACATGCCCATGCCCTGCACAGATTCTAGCCACCTCTAAGCCAGACTCACTTTCCAGCCCGTTCCAGTGCAATGGCTGCTGTATCTGGTGTCCCATTCTCCAGGTACATCATACTGGCTTTCTCAATCAGCTGAACTGCTTCAGGAAGCCTCTGCATCTCCTACAAGGCAACAGTCACAGGAACACTGTTGTTAGGAAAAGAGATTACGTGCAAGGACACAAATCAAAGCAAATTGCAATATTAGTATTCTAATTTTAATTTACAAACGTGTAGGGCTAGTGAAAGTTGACCACCACCTCCATAAAATTTACTTTTAAGTACTAAACTTTTGTGTAAGTCATGAACTTGTGGTAATTTGGAGTAAAAGCAACACCACTATTCTATTACCCTCTGACATGAGGAACTCTTCTTTCCTTCTACAAAAGGAAAACTATTTTTCACCCCAAATACAAATGTTGCTTTCCTAATCTACTGAAGGCAGACATGGGGACTATGAGTCAACAAAAAATTCACTTGAATATGCAATTTGCTTACATATATTTGTAAAATACTACATAGCAAAATATCTGTCCTTATTAAATAGAACTTAAAAATAAAAACTAGTAAATGAGAATACCTTTAGCATCATGCCAGCTTGTTCATAAGCTCTGCAAAGAAAAAAAATGTACAATTTGGTCAAAGATGGTATATTACAACAAGCTGTAGTTATGAAACAAAAGTTAATATGCACTGATTATCTAACATCTTCACTGTTAATATTTAATGCTTTGAAGACGTTGAAAGTGTTTTATTTAATGACACGTGTAACTTTATCTTCCACAAAACTCAACCACACTCCCCGGTAAAAATATATTCTATCATGATCCAGGCAGTATTTGGATTATTGTCATCTCTGAAGTACTTTTTAATTAAAAATTTCTTCATTAGCTCAGTGTAGAATCTCAAAATGATGAGAAGTTCAACTAAGAAAAAACATTTGCTATCAAAAGGTGCTGAAGAATGCCAAAATAATTTCTTCAGGTGGCCATTACATGTTTTCAAACTTTCCTAGCTCACACCTCCATTAAACTAATTATGAAGCACCAAAATTACTTGAATCAAAAGAGTTACTCTGAGATCAAAATGTACTTGTACTGTTTGTTAAAAAATCTGTTTCAGATTACTTAGCATGTCTGTACTTACTTGGCAGCATGAAAGAGACTGGACATGAAATTGCTGAAGTCAAGGACAAAAGCCGCAAAAATATAATGCAGGAAAAATATTAATGTACAAAATCTTATACAACTACTAATTTCAAAGCAAGGAACCCCATAAAGGCAAATCTAACCTACTGCAGGCAAGATGTCAAAAATAAATAATTCTAAGGACAGAATAAATTCAATATACTAATGTATAGCTACATAAAAAGTTGGTAAAAGCACACTTACTTAAAATATGTTCCTGCTTATTAAACAGTACTACAAGTACTGTAATAATGTCAGAGCTTCATTTAGTTTATCGTATGCATTAGTAGATAATTAAAAACCAATTAAATTTCTGAAGCAATACCTAGGTATCTCAGGCACCTTTCTGAGCTGTTATTTGGGACAACACTAACTTTCTCACCAACAGTTCTTTAGTTTTCTCACTCAGAGCACACAGGAAAGACTTAAAAAGCAATTCTGGTACACTGACAAAATGTGCAAATATATTAAATAACCTGTTACCAACCCCCATTACTCCAATTTAAGTAGCAACTAGTCAGCTTCTTGGAAAGAAAGCATTTCAATCAATGAAAAGATACGCTTTATTGTTTTCATGTGCCTCAGCTTCCCGTAAACAGGCTTCCCTTGCCTGGTCAAACTGCTTGGCATTCTTAAAAGCAACAGCTGCAAAAAAGCAAATAAAGATCTTATTTATAACTTGTCTTCTTTTTTACCACTGCTGCTGGGGAGTTTACCTACCTAAACATGCAAACAGGGTCTTTAAGTGCATGGTTACAGTTTGCGAAGGCTTTCCCAAAAATCCCAGACAGTTCTCCTTGTTTCATTAGTAACTTAGTTACCATTAAAGACATTTATTATCAACATCACTTCCATACCAACACAGTATCATTCATAGCTCTCAATATGTTTAGCTGGACTTTGAGAGTCACTCATGCTGTATTTTAATTACGGATATGGAGGAATACATATTTATATAATTTTAATCATTAGGAGTTATAAGAAGTCAGAAATGTGCCACCAACAAGGCATACCCATATCTTTGTCAGCACAATAATTTCAGAGTACAAATATGTATTTCTATCTTGCTTAACTAATTAAATATAAAGAAAGATTTAAAATAAATTTCCATTTATAAATTTTCTAGTTGTTCTTCCAAGTTTGTATTTTTTTATTCAGTCTTAGGTGAATAGTAGGAATGCCTAAAGTAAGAAGCCAAAAGACCATGACAAATTATTACTATGAAAAGAAGAAAATGCTTAAGAACAAAAAGAAATCAGCAAGTAAGGATTTTCTATTTAGCGTGTCTTGGCAGTAGAAAAAGGGAGGAATGAGACTCTACTGTGCCTGAAATAATCTGCCAGCATTTCACCTTACGGAGACAGTCTTTGACAGGACATATTTCATAAGGTGATGATAAAGCAAAATTTTAAAATCAGCTTGAACGTCTGTTGTTTTGTAGATAAAGTCATAGGATTTGGGGGTGGACAAGTGAAAGAAGGAAAGAAAGCTTTATTTTTGTCACGTATAGCAATATAAAAAATAGAAGTTGCAAGCTTGAAAAAAGAAATTGGTTTTGGAAACTGTTCTAGATCTCCAAGTACAACCTGAGATTTATTTTATAGTGCTACCAAGAGGATTTTTTGTTGTTTCATCTTCCATTTAGTCTTCACAACAGTTATACTTACACAGTAATGTAATAAAAATACATAAAACATTATAAGGGACTCAGCTTGATGAATACTTTTAAATATATATGGCCATATTTACTGCCACATACCTGCCTTCCCATATTCAGTAGCTGCACTGTCATAATCTGGTTTCCACTTTAAGAATCCAGTTTTCAGGCTAAAACGCAAGAAGCAATTAGTAAAGATTTTATGTTTTACCATAAAGGCACTTCAGATACATTTCAAACTTTAGAATACCCCTGGAAATGAGCAATTACCGATGTGCCAATACTATGGTGGCATCTGTACCATAAAAACAAATGCCAGCACTGGTAAGAACTGCATAAAGCACTGCAATTATCTCCCAGTTACCATCCTCACCTAACATGCTTCTACTGTTCCCAGAGAGTATTCCCAACTCCATCTTCTCAGCAGTAAGAAGTCAGCAGAATAAAAACACTTCCTCCTACACCAACATGGTATCTCCAGATTTCTAATAGCATGACACCTGACAATATTTTTTTTTTTTTCACACATCAGGAAGTTTCCAGCATTCCTCTACAGGATTTTTTTTTTTTTTGCTTCTGAGATTTATCAAAGACTCTCCAATGCATACACAAATAAAAGAATTTAGTTACCAACACAAAGATTCACATGTCATTTATATGTCTAAAATAGATCATGACACTAAAAGGCATAGATACATAGAGGAAAATGAACATTGGAAAATTAGTTGAGTGATTAGGCAACTTGGAATTCAATATGCTGACTTCTCTCATTTCTAAAAGAAATTAAAATATTACCATAATTTTACCGTCTGCTTGTATATTTGTTATTGGCCAATACATCATATGCAATACATTCTTTACTTGGCTAAACAGCTGTAGATATGGATACTAAGGTGGCCTTGCTGTCTTACTTGGATGATGACCAGAGTGTGTAACTCTAACACAAGCCTATATATTGTGCTATTTTTATCACAGTCGGAGTCTCAAATGCATCAAGCTGAAATACACAATGCACTCAAGCTACACACAATTTGAGGTCTCAGTGCCTTTAATTTCAAGTGCTCTACAGATAAGCTTAAAATTAATTCTGCTGGAGGGCACTTTCAGTCAAGTAACTTGAGTAAGATATGCCAGGCTTTTTCAACTTCAAAGCCTTCCCTCTATGCCAATTTATACAGTTGATCCATGATATCCAGAGGGCCTGTCACTACTCTTACTAAAACTATGGCATCCTTGGATTAGTCAGCTCTATTACATCTATATTGTACTCTGTGCAATTCAGACTTACAAGCAAAATGGCTATATTTGGTATTAAAATACCCAGTAACAGACTATCATAGATGTTAAAGAGAAAGCTCTCCAAGATAAGTATAGGTTTTTGAAGGCACCTAAGAAGCACCAATCACAGATTTCTCAAGGGCAGGGAACAACCACCCACCACCTCAGCAAAGTCAAGCCCTTTTACCCAACACAGCCTCCATAACTCTTTTCTCACACTTGTCTATAGCCTTAAGATGTGCCAGGGTAGGTTTAAGATGGACATTTGGAAGAAATTCTTCACAGAAAGGGTTATTAGATATTGGAATGGGCTGCCCAGGGAGGTGATAGAGTCACCATCCACAGCGGTGTTTAAGGAAAGATTGGATGTGGCACTCAGTGCCCTGGTCTAGTTGACAGAGTGGTGTTGTGTCACAGGTTGGATTCGACCATCTCAGAAACCTTTTCCAACCTAATTGATTCTGTGACTTGTCTTCCTCCCACTAACTTCAGCAGAAGGGCAGACGTGGCAGCCCTTTCTTTGCTGTCAGCGTCGGAGCAATAGAGGCCACAAGGCCCTGAAGGGAACTGCTCGGGCTCCAGGCCACTGAGCCACACCGCCCACGGACCCCACTGTTTAGTCTTAGGGCCCTTTACTGTCGCCGTTGGGGGCAGCAGGCCCTCTAGAGCACCCAGCCCGGTACGGAGGCTCCTCTCAGGCAGAGGAGGGGCCGAGCAGCCATGCCCCCCACCTCCCTGCCCTTCTCCCGGTGCGCCGCCGCCTGGCACACGGAGCCTCCTCAGCCGCCCTGCCAGGCCAGGAGGGGACACGCCGGGCGGCCGGGACCGCGCGGGTGCCGAGCTGGCAGCCGCTCGCCAGCGCCCCGCAGCCCGCACCCTCCGCCCCGCGGCCCTCCGCTCACTATTTCTCCGCTTTCGCGATGTGCTCCAGCGCCTCGTTAATCTTCTGCGCCGCCATCTCGCCAGCGGGGCGGGGCGGACTCGGCCCCGCTCCTCCGCCCCCCTGCGCTGCGGCTACGGAACGGCGCAGGGATCACGGGCACCGGGAGGAGCGGCCCGGGCCCGCCCGCTGCCCGGGCCCGCCCGCTGCCCGGGCCCGCCCGCTGCCCGGCCCCGCCCGCTGCCCGGGCCCGCCCGCTGCCCGGGCCCGCCCGCTGCCCGGGCCCGCCCGCTGCCCGGCCCCGCCCGCTGCCCGGGCCCGCCCGCTGCCCGGGCCCGCCCGCTGCCCGGGCCCGCCCGCTGCCCGGCCCCGCCCGCTGCCCGGGCCCGCCCGCTGCCCGGGCCCGCCCGCTGCCCGGCCCCGCCCGCTGCCCGGGCCCGCCCGCTGCCCGGGCCCGCCCGCTGCCCGGGCCCGCCCGCTGCCCGGGCCCGCCCGCTGCCCGGGCCCGCCCGCTGCCCGGCCCCGCCCGCTGCCCGGGCCCGCCCGCTGCCCGGGCCCGCCCGCTGCCCGGGCCCGCCTGCGCCGGGGCCGGGGCCGGACTGCCCCGAGTGCCCGCAGTGCCCCGAGTGCCCGCACTGCCCCGAGTGCCGGGGGTGCCCCGAGTGCCCGCACTGCCCCGAGTGCCCGCAGTGCCCCGAGTGCCGGGAGTGCCCCGAGTGCCCGGACTGCCCGCAGTGCCCCGAGTGCCCGCAGTGCCCCGAGTGCCCGCAGTGCCCGCAGTGCCCCGAGTGCCCGGACTGCCCCGAGTGCCCGCAGTGCCCCGAGTGCCCGCAGTGCTCCGAGTGCCCGCAGTGCCC